TAACTGAGTTCAGCCTCCGCAGTTGTTAAAAGTCCTCCATCTGTACCAAAGCAAGATTATAGCTAGATAAAAAGAACCGAGAACAAAAGAGTCTGAAATCTTTGCAGAATTAGAAGGATACACAGGGAGCTGTTGCCAGCGCTGTGATTCATGAAGGCTAACTATGCCCCAATGGTAGCGCATGGAAATCAAAGACTCTTCTGAGCATTGCAGAAGAGCAGGTACAGTAACAGTTCTCCAGTTCATGGGATCTGCCAATTGACCACGACACGGTGAATAAACAATCGATCTCCACTTCACCTACTTTACAAGTAGTCCCTTTGCTCAGCTGGAGTAGACTCAAATGGAGTCCAATAACAACTTGCTCCAGAAGCAGAAACAGCAGCAAAACCAATGCAACATCACAACATATGCAGACCACACGACGCTCACCAAAGCTTTCGAAGACAACAATAAAAAAAACTGTTGCAGAAGCATGCAACCGTTAATCCTGCTTTATTCATCATTCTTCACGTAGACGGGACTCGGTATTTGCAGACAAACACTTACTTTCTTGAAGGCACTGCAATCCATTAACAAAGAAGAAGCATGATTCACATTCAATACCCCGATTACAAGTGAATCAAACATCTCAGGCCTCAAGTCTCTAAAAAACGACATCCTATCACTCGAACCTTCCACAATATACCACCAACAGCAACAAAGACGAGCGACCAACACATACAAAAACAGGAACACCACATTAACTGCCAGAATTAGTTCACAACTACTGCACTTCATCTTATCTTTGAAACCTTGCTGTACCTCTAAAAAACCTAACAGGACGACAAAACAAAATGAGCAAACTGTACTACTCCAAAACAGTTAAGCAATGCCACATTCAAATTCGCAACTGCCAACAAATTTAGCGCTCAAAGAAGCTGAAAACATTTGCAAACAGATCTTGCGAACCAATCAGAAAAGCTCCGCAAAACCGCTAAAAACGAAGCACTCATTTTTCTCCTTCAAATTTTTTCAAATGAAAAGTTTTTAGCACTAGGTTACGGCAAACAGATTACCTTAGAATGGTAGGAACAAAAAACTCGAATACCAAAATGAAAGAATATTTAAAACAAGTTTTTAAGTATAGTGACTTCAATATCAGCAATTTATTTCCCAAAGCTTGATAGGAACTAACAGATTTCTTACGGAAGGAAAATTTGAATCTGAAGGCCTTGAATAAGCACAAACTAAGCATTTAGTTACAAAAAGTAGCAAAGTCAAGAGAACAAGATCAAATGACACCAACAAGAAAAAACAATAAAACAAAAATAAAGGGGCTCACCGCCACAGAGAGAATATTGGAGGTAAAGTACGAACTACATTTATAAAAGGAAAACTAATTAATTCAAAACAACCCAACAAGAAGTTTTGTCAAAAATGACGTAATAACAAGTTATAAGAAACTTGGAAAAAAAAGGATTTTTCTATCGAAAATTAAAGCTACAAATTTGCTAACAAAAGAGCTAAAACAAAACAAAAAACAGGAAACAATAAATGGACATAAAAAAAAAACAGAAAATCCTTTTTTCACCCGAACTTCTGAATGCTTTAGTCAGAGATGTCTCCTCTAATAGCAACAAAAGCAAAAAAACAAGAAAAATAATGATGGTCCTTCGAACATAAAATACAAAAACAATTTTTTTTTTCTATTTTTTTTTTTT